ATTGAATTTGAACGGTAAAACATAATACTTTTTTATATTTTCAAACTATTAGTTTATAAATTTAAATTCAAATTATATTTTAATAAAATCAATTTATATGATAATAAATCCAATTACATAAAAATTTAAGTACAAAAAAAATTGAACTCGAAAAAATTTAGTGAAAATAAAAGTAAAATTTGTTTACAAAAAAACCATTGAAAAAAAACATATTTGTGATTGTCAGCGCTTGTTAGTTTTGGCACATTTAAGGGCCAAAACGACCACATCTAGAGAGGAAATGATTGATAGACGAAAATATATCCTTAAGTTGTCTTAGTTGATGAACAGTAACAACCATTTGAACTCTTGAAATAAACCTTCCTCGTAAAAGAGGATAATGAAAAAATTCAGAAAGTTTCCCCAGCTCAACTCTAAATGAAATTGCGAGCCAAACTCTCAAAAGAGAGCAATTTAACTATGAAAGACTTTTGCTTTTTTTTTTTTTTTTCCTTTTTTGAACAGGCACAAATTTAGGAGAGGTGTGATTTGAACCACCTAAGGTTGGGAGTGCACTTTTCTTAAGGTTTATAGTTAATTGGCCTTCTAGGTTAGTTGCAGCTGTCACTCCTTTGAAAATAAAGAAAATGGGGAAGGAGAAAAATCTCCAACTTGAGTTTCTATAATTAGATAATGAGATGAATTTATACAGATATTAATGTGGAATTTTTGGTTTGATATTATTGATATTTGAATTAATTTTATAAGATTTTAGTTGATTTTATATAATTTTTATAATTTGTATAGGAAAGGATTTACTTGGAAAAAAATCATAACTTTTAGTACTAAATTGCAGAGATCAGAAAGCTGAGATTAAGTTGCACAGCATTAAAAAATTAGAGACCAAGACTGTTGTTTTAGCATTAAAAAATTCGACTCGGACTCTTCTTGGCGGACGCAGTAAAGGTTTTACCACCTTCACTAGGGGGTTCGATGGGTCTTTAATATTTTATTTGGTTTGCAGCCTATTGTAGTTAGATTTTTTAAAATCGTATAAATACATGTCTAAATTTAGGATTGATAGCTTGGAAGGCTGGTGCTGGCTCTCTCTTTTGGGTACTTTTAGAAATTAGGGTAGATAATTTATTAATAACAAAGGATGAAGAATTTTACTTTTT